ATCTATCCTATGAATATAATGACACACTATCAAACGATATCAGGGAGTGAAACATCAAGGGTATAAAACAAATGAGAGTAACACACTATGAATACTATGTATGCCATTTTTTTAATAACGGGGAAACTCAAACCCTAGCAGACTACTCTGCCACGCTTTTGATTTTAACACCGCAGAAGTCGCTAGGGGCTCATATTTTAGTACAAAACAACAAAGGGGCCACTGAGAGATTGCAAAATGTGACTTACTGTCTACTTTCTAAAACCCTGAACCCGTTGATAATTGGTGAAAAGAGTATAAAAGGTTTGTGAAAATATACTTAACAAGCAGACCAAAGTATCTTCTAGCCCATATATAAGTTAATGCATTTGGCTAGCTATAAGTCAATTCCGACTAGATTCACAATTAGAACTCCTTTCTGTATGATCAACTTCGCATGCGCGGCTACAACAGTACAGCCGCGCGTCAGAAACAAAGTTGTCATCTGCGCTTCCATGCACTGGTTGTCTGAAATACAATCCGCTTGGACTTAATGCTCTATCAGCGAATATATGTTACATGTCTAGGTTTGCCTTAAGAACATTTTTATACCTAGCTTACGTTTAACTTAAACAATAAATCAGTCACTAAACGGCTTGTAACTTTTATAGCCTAGTGACCCTTCAAAATTTAACATTTTTTACGTGTGTTTAAAAACCAACAAACGTAACATACAATGATATCCTTATGAAAAATGGTGAACAAAAGGATTTAGTAGCCGGGTTAGACAAAGATTCTGTGAACCAAGGCCAGTTTAAAAAAAAAAAAAAAAACAAGTAAACGTGACAATAAATGCTCCGTTTGGCGATTCCAATATAAAGCCCCTACTCGTGTTTACGGTTATTACTGCACTTTCCAGTTAGGCCAAAACGTTTGATTAAAAATTACAAAAAATGAAAAAAGTAAAGCTCCTAACACATTCCGCACCTGTGGTAATAATAATCAAAGATGCTGAAAAAATGCACAGGACATAGAATGTCACGAGACATTCTATGCTGATTCGGTGCTGTCTTCGTAGCATTATTATTTTTACCGAATCCTTCCTGAGTTTTTTGAAAAATGATTGATTACGCAGCATGTACGATAAATTATTTGTCCAACTTGGTTAAATAATAATCCAGAGACGAGAGCGAGAATTTTTCTTTTTTCCTCTCCAAATTCATAAAAATAAAAACCCAATCAAACAAAGTTGATACGCAAACTTATAGATCACTTTTTGAATGTTTCATATAATTTCGTTACTAAAAATTTTTTAGCAACACAACGACTTTCAGTATCAAATCTAACGGGGCTTTCCAGCATAGCCCAAAATTCTGTTCTCTTATGCACATTACGCTTTGCATTCGTATTTTATTCCATCGTGTGAGTTGCTAAAACTAAATTTTCGATTTGACGAGTGTTAAAAGTAATATTTTTATAGTTTCGTATAATTTCGTTACGCACCTTCTAACACAAAATTAAATTTTAAAGCTATTAACAGACTTGACTTTATGTACACCTATTACCAAATTAAATACAAACACGATAATACAATGAACGCAATGAAGGAGATATTAGGTGAACGTACGCTTCTCACAAATAAGACAATCGATAGCATTTTGTCTGCTTCTCACATCCCCTCGTCAACCGATGGACATTGACAGTTCAACAGCCTCAACAAGTAAGAGGTTCTAGTCGGGAGCTCCCGACTAGGGGATACCCTGAACCCTCTTATTCCAACACCAAATAAATTAATAAAAAAAAGTTCCCTTGGCAGGGCTCGAATTTGCAACTGACCGCATTACTTACTGTCGACTCTACTCAACAGCCACACCAGCAAAAAAAAAATAATAATACTTTCCCCGGTAGGGCTCGAACTCGCGACAGACCGCACCACTTGCTATGCCTCTACTCAGCAGCCACACCAACAATTAAGTACTTATGATAAAAAAAAGGAACTAAAATAACATTACAAAAAAAAGATGCAATTACCATGCTATTAGAATGCGAAGCAGACGCGCATGAATGTGTGTGTGTACATGTATACAGAAATTCTTAATGGTGCTGCCCCATTCAATTGCGCAGTTGCATACAACTTTGGTTTTTCTTAACCGATCTTTATGAAATTTCTACAGTATATCTTATTGTACCAAAAAAAAAAATCAATTGCATTTAAATTGTGGTTTAAATTCGTTGGTAATAAAAGTTGGGTTATTAACTTGATTTATAGCTCTAAGGTGGTAGCGGGGAGGTGGCGATAGGTATGAAATAAAATATACTTGAAATATCTGCAATATTCTAGAAGCAACATATCATGTTTGGTGGCTCTAGCTCTTATTATTTACCCAATTTGCTAAAAAAACAGGATGTCGATATCGATTTTTATCGATTGCTTGGAAACGGAATAGAATGTTACTAATGGAAATGCAGAATTTGGTGCTCGCTGTTACCCTTGCAAAAATGAATATCATAAGCCCATATATATTAGATCACGCAGATTTGACATCTGTTTGGGTCGATGAACCCACAGGTACTTTAATAGCTGACCTTATGTCCGTTGCGTCCATGAAAGTATTACAATCTGTTTATCCCCTTCACTTTATCATTAAGTTCCCGAAAATCAAAATGGCTTGCAGAAAAGTGATGCTGTATCCAGTTGCACATGAGAATGCTGTGCTACAAATTGACGACAACATTATAGCTGAGTGCGGAGATCAAGTGCTTGCCCTTAAGAATTGCACTTCCACGCCGGGAGGAACCTTTTGTCAACTTTCACCGACCAGCTCTTGTGCCAGAGAGCTGCATGCTGGTGGCTTGGCAAACTGCCAAATGCAGCCGAGTCACTTAGACCCGATCACATGGGTGGATGACGGAATTCTTATCATCAATAACCGGCCTGCTAAAGTTTGCGTTGACAACCGTACTGAGACTTGGGTTCACGGAACGAATCTAATCACGTTCAATAATTCGGCTCTGATCAACGAAACTAAGTACTTGAATCGCAACAACGTCCAGAGTAAGTTCCCCGGCATCGCGGCATCTCCCCTTCTGAACGTCACCGGCCACCAAGACGTGTTGAGTCTCCCCTACCTTCATCGCCTGAATGAACGTAACCTGGAGATCATCAAGGAAGTCAAGGACGAAATTGGAAGCGTCGACAGCATGGTAATAGCCTTCTTGTTGGGTGCTGTGTGTTGCACCATAATTTGCGTCGGAGTCACCTACCGTCGGTTCACCAAAAATATGGCATCGGCCAAGGAGATTAAGAAGGTGATCGCCAAGATAGGAACGGCCGAGGGCGGCCTTAACTTAAAAAGGGAGCAGTTAACAGAGGCCAACGACACCAGCTCCAGATGCTGATATAGCACTGAGCCGGATGTTCTTACGAGCTAACAGGGGTCAGCAAAATGCAACATAGCACCAGCCGCAGATGCTGACATAGCTCTGGGCCGGATGTTCTTGCACGACGGCAGCGCACTAGGCTAAGCTAAGCATTCTAGCGGCCGTTGTGAAAGCACACAATAGCTTAGGTATTTTTTATCAATCTTTTGTTAATTTAGTTTTTAATTCGACTTTCACTGCGGCACATCGGCCCAGCGACTTCGTGTATAATTTAACTCACTCACTACGGCGTTTCGGCCTAGTGTTTTATAAATCATTATCAAAATTAAGTTCTATCAAAATAATCCGCGAGGACTTATTATTTAAATCCTAATTTATATATGCTCAATGTATATGCTTTAAATGTATGTATATATACATGCTCCCGCTCTGCCGCTGTACTCAGCGACAGAGACTTATATACTAATAATCTAATGTGAGACTTAAGAACGACACATAAGTCGATAAGAAATCATCAACGTCTTAAGACGTTAGGTAATAAACTATTAAAGTCCAACAGTTCGAAAACATTGTCCATATATTAATAGCAAATCCCAAAGACAAATTCATCTTTAGAACGCACTGAGTATTCCCCGTATCCCACCAACATATAGTTCTACAGCTGCAAGACAACATTAAAACTAAGTATATCGCGGCGGTCAGGGAGTGCTCCATTACCAATTTTGGCGCGATCTGCAACAAAACAGCAAAAGGCGAAACCTGCGGTCGAGCGATACACGCTGGAATGACAGCTATCCTAAGGCCCATGATTCAAGTGGACGACGGCGTGATAATTATAAACGACAGCCCAACGTAAACCAGCGCTGACGACAGTCCAGACATCAAAATCGATGGCAACTTTAAATGTTAAAGAAAAGGCCAGTTGTATCGGGATCCAAATTGCTCAATATCACCATTCATGACCTAATACCACACACAACACCAATGCCACAGCAGTTGTTGCTTCCTCATCTATCAGCTCCTTAAGCTGCGACAAGTTTCGAGAAATTACAAGAATCCATCAGCAAATATAACGTAACCAGGGCGCTCACGAACTTAGTGGGGGGATAGCTAACAAACAACCCAGGCTTGTTAGGCCCGTTATATTTATAGCTACCCTCGCATGGGCATTCATTATGAACACTCGATTGTAAAACAATAAATTAATACTATCTCCGACAAATGGCCGTAAAATAATGTTGTTATTATTTGACAAATTATTACACAGCCCAAGGCCAGTAATAAAAACGCTAATTCAAGCTTTCCATTCTAATCGTCCTAAGACACTTACGTTCAGTCATAACCCAATCTGGCCAGAAGACTTATTTAGATTAAACTATAACTCGATGTGACCAGCAGCCTGCCAGAAGACCTAATTTATATAGTTTCTAATTTATATGAAATAATATTTAGCCTTCCGTATTCTCGGGGGCTAAAACCGCCAACCTCGTACTCAGTGTGCCCCACTGTTGTAATTAACTGCGATCAATTAATTATGTATCGAGGCTATGCCGGCTGTAGCTTATTTCATATTTAATGCCAATTGCAGTTTGTAATTGTCGCTTAGAGCACTAGCTATTACAAATAAAACATATTCAATATCCGGTAACAGCCATTAATTCATTGTACTCGTTCTTGGGATAAAATGAATAGCCAGATACCTGGAACACGTCACATAGCAACCAACCAACCAACCAACCAACTTGACTATAAGACTAAGAAGACATAATTTAAATACATGTACCAATTTTTGAAGGATTACATAAAGTAGCGCAAGTATATAAAAAAGTAATTTAAATATTTTCAAATTTAAATATTTGCTATAGGGCCTAACTAGTTGACTATTTTAAAGATATATTATCTATGCAATTAGCTTCGATTAATGTTTTGCATGTGCGTGCTGTTGAAATATTGTTATTCCATGTCATCATCATTGATTATAATTCCTTTAATATTGTGCTTTTTGCATTTTTAAGTTTATCAAGTCGTTTAAGTAGATGGTTATTAGCGGTTTCTGCTTCCTCCAAACGTTCCAAAATCTCCCGATGCTGTAAAATACAAATAGGAAAAAAACATAATGTATATAATAAGGTTAATAAAATAATTAATAGGACAACTGATACAGGAATTCTTACATACAGTTATACAGCATTGTTTATAAGTGAAAGCTGGGATGTGGGTTGGCTCCTGTGCCCACATAATGCAGGAATGCCAACCCCTGTATTGTGATTAAATATCGGCTGAATCTTATTTTCTACACTCATTGCAACAAAATCAACCACGCATCTATCCTATGAATATAATGACACACTATCAAACGATATCAGGGAGTGAAACATCAAGGGTATAAAACAAATGAGAGTAACACACTATGAATACTATGTATGCCATTTTTTTAATAACGGGGAAACTCAAACCCTAGCAGACTACTCTGCCACGCTTTTGATTTTAACACCGCAGAAGTCGCTAGGGGCTCATATTTTAGTACAAAACAACAAAGGGGCCACTGAGAGATTGCAAAATGTGACTTACTGTCTACTTTCTAAAACCCTGAACCCGTTGATAATTGGTGAAAAGAGTATAAAAGGTTTGTGAAAATATACTTAACAAGCAGACCAAAGTATCTTCTAGCCCATATATAAGTTAATACATTTGGCTAGCTATAAGTCAATTCCGATCTAGTCGGACACAATGAGAACTCCTTTCTGTATGATCAACTTCGCATGCGCGGCTACAACAGTACAGCCGCGCGTCAGAAACAAAGTTGTCATCAGCGCTTCCATGCACTGGTTGTCTGAAATACAATCCGCTTGGACTTAATGCTCTATCAGCGAATATATGTTACATGTCTAGGTTTGCCTTAAGAACATTTTTATACCTAGCTTACGTTTAACTTAAACAATAAATCAGTCACTAAACGGCTTGTAACTTTTATAGCCTAGTGACCCTTCAAAATTTAACATTTTTTACGTGTGTTTAAAAACCAACAAACGTAACATACAATGATATCCTTATGAAAAATGGTGAACAAAAGGATTTAGTAGCCGGGTTAGACAAAGATTCTGTGAACCAAGGCCAGTTTAAAAAAAAAAAAAAAAACAAGTAAACGTGACAATAAATGCTCCGTTTGGCGATTCCAATATAAAGCCCCTACTCGTGTTTACGGTTATTACTGCACTTTCCAGTTAGGCCAAAACGTTTGATTAAAAATTACAAAAAATGAAAAAAGTAAAGCTTCTAACACATTCCGCACCCGCGGTAATAATAATCAAAGATGCTGAAAAAATGCACAGGACATAGAATGTCACGAGACATTCTATGCTGATTCGGTGCTGTCTTCGTAGCATTATTATTTTTACCGAATCCTTCCTGAATTTTTGAAAAATGATTGATTACGCAGCATGTACGATAAATTATTTGTCCAACTTGGTTAAATAATAATCCAGAGGCGAGAGCGAGAATTTTTTTTTTTTCCTCTCCAATCAAACGCAACCCCCGCAGAATTTTAATGAATTATTCCTAAAAATAAAAAACCCAATCAAACAAAGTTGATACGCAAACTTATAGATCACTTTTTGAATGTTTCGTATAATTTCGTTACTAAACATTTTTTAGCAACACAACGACTTTCAGTATCAAATCTAACGGGGCTTTTCCAGCATAGCCCAAAATTCTGTTCTCTTATGCACATTACGCTTTGCGAGAGATTTCTCAGTTGAGAGTGATTGACGTGTTTTACTTGTGCTCCAAGATTTTTATATATTTTTGCGCTTTTATCCTGCTTTTTATTTCAAAACTTTGCATTTTTCGTTGCTTTATTTAAAAAGCTTTTATAAACTGTGCAAAGTGTTATCTGTTGTGCAGCGTGTCTGTTAATTATTACATTTTATAAAACGCGGCGTCAGTTCCGTGTTTGTTGTTATTGGCTGTTTTAAGTCTATTGCCTTTGTGCTCCCCTGTGAATACACTTGTTTGTGCGTGTGTTCGCTGCATACTTTCTGCTTGTCCATCGCGCTCTCACAAATTTCTTTCTATTGCTTTTCGCACCAAACAATTTGTCTGTGTACGAATAATTGTTTTTTGAGTGTTTACTTGTGCACCGTTTTCGTTTCGTTTTGCTCTGCGCTCTCGCAAGTTGCTTGTGCATTTAATAATTATGTCGTGCTGTAAGAAACCGTGCACGTTCAAGCAGGCTGACGATTCTGCGTTGCCGCAATTTGTTAATTGCTGGCTGTGTGAGAATATGATGCATGCTAAATGTGCAGGTCTCACTGGGCGTGTTTGCGACAAGATCGCTGCTATTGCCAAGAAGGGCTGCGGTGGCTTGCGTTGGTCGTGCCCAGAATGCATCGACAAGCAAATTGATTTCTCCAGAATGTATGTGAGAAGTCAATTCTTAAAATTAAATAATGTGGCTAAGCAGCTCTCGAGTAATTTTGACTCGAGTTTCGAGTTGCTAGGCAAATATAAATTTGAGTCCCCAACCAATCGCCGGTTGGAGCCTCAACTTTTGCAATTGCCCTCTACGTCTGTTCAGACACCTACGACTTTCTTGTCCCTTCCTAGCAACTTGGAGGTATCTCCAATGTTGTCTTTATCGCCTTCTCCAAGCGACTGTCCAATTACCCCGGCTTCAAGCCCTCTACTAGACCCAGTAGAGCCCGTATCTGATTCCGTCCCAATTAATCAAACTGCCTCAGCCCCGTCAGCTCCTGGCCGCAAAGGTAGACCTGCGCGCAATCTTGCCCAGATTGTTAAAAACAATCATTGTGCCTCGTTAGCTCCTCCAACTCCTGTATTACCTACAGCCCCATCAGCGCCTACTTTAACGGTAGTTGCCCCTCGTAGGCAAGTTTTTGTGTCTCGACTTTCGTCGGACACCACTTCTGAGTCATTGGCAGCCTATATTGCTAGCAAATCTTCTGCTAGCGTGTCAATAACTAAATTTAATTTCTCCACCCCTCGTGAAATATCATCATTCAAAATAAATGTTTCACATGATATGTTCCCAATCATTTGTGATCCCAAATTTTGGCCACCACACATGATTGTTCATGAGTTCAAGCCTAAAAAGCGTAACCAGCCTGTCACCCTTCCAGTCCCTTCAATACAGGGTACCATTTCTGCCCCAAAAAACTAGCTTCATCTTCTGGCCAAATCTTTATTCATTATCAGAATGTCAGAGGTCTCACTTCAAAGCTAAAAAATCTTTTTATTGCCAGCACTTCCTTCGATTCGGACATAATAGCATTTTCAGAAACATGGTTAAACTCAACCATATCTGATTTTGAGATATTACCGAATAACTTTATTTTGTTTAGAAATGATCGGCCGACTCGAGGTGGTGGGGTGTTAATTGCCGTTAAAGCCACTCTCCAGTCTGAACTATTCTGTTTTAGTACGCCTACTGACGCTGAGATTGTCTCAGTTAAGGTGTCTTTTCCTACACGGAATATCTATGTAACATGCTCTTATGTCCCACCTTCTTCTGATATTCAAGTTTATATGAATCATATTACTTGTATTAAAGAAGTTTCTTCACACGTGCGGGATAATGACCTATTATTGGTGTTGGGTGATTTTAATTTGCCGAACATCTCTTGGTCATTATTCACTGCTGAAAATTATCTAGTGCCCTCAGCACAGCACGATTTTTTAGACTGCATGCTTGATCTTTCGTTGTTTCAAATCAATTCAATTTCTAATCATATGAATAGAACACTTGACCTTGTATTTGTTAACGACTACCTTATTTCTAATGTGTCTAGGTCACCTCCTTTATCTCTTCCTGAGGATGTCTATCATCCAACTTTAGAGATTGCAATGCTAAATTGTAATCCTTCCATTTCGTGCTCATCAGCCAATAAGCCCCGCTATTGCTTTCGCAAAGGAAATTATTCCTTGCTGAATCAGCTTATTTATTCAACCGATTGGTCTTTCTTATATGACTCAGTTGATATGAATACAGCCATTAATTCTTTTTATATCACCCTAAACTCCCTCTTAGATGTGTGTATTCCTAAGTCAATTCCTTCGACTACTTTTTCAAAACCACCCTGGTTTACTCCCAGATTATCATATCTAAAAAATGTAAAATCCAAATATTTTAAAAAGTTTAAAAAGTCTGGTTCGTGTACAGACTTGGCTAAATATTCCATAGCCAAGTCGAACTTCTTTCTTCTTAATTCTCAATGCTATGAGAATTATCTAATTCGTTGTAAAAGGCAATTCGCCCGAAATCCGAGACAGTTTTATAATTTTGTAAACTTGAAGCGTAAGTCTTCAAGTTTGCCATCTTCTTTTTTTCTTGGTATGGATAAAGCTAGCAATGACACTGATTCTGCTAACCTCTTTGCTAATTTTTTCCAATCAACTTACTCTTCAGTCTGTCCTAATACTAATTCTTACCCTTATACTATTTCCTCCGCTAGTTCTATACCTCCCCCCATTATTTCACACTCCTCTCTCCTATTAGCTATAAACTCTCTAAAATCTTCTTACTCTCCTGGGCCGGACAATATTCCTAGTTGTCTACTCAAGGAGTGTAGTTCTTCCCTTTTCTATACATTGCTAAAGCTTTTTAATATATCCCTTGAAACTTCTGTCTTTCCATCTCTTTGGAAAGAATCTTATATCATTCCTCTTCACAAGAAAGGTGGGAAGTCTGATATACAAAATTACAGGGGCATTGCAAAACTGTCTGCTATTCCTAAATTATTTGAAAAAATAATCACTTCGAATTTGCAGCATTTCTGCAAATCAGTTGTTTCCCCTGTTCAACATGGATTCGTAAAGAATCGGTCAACTACGACCAATCTGCTTAAGTTTACTTCCTTGGTAAATGATGCTTTCCTTTCGAAAATGCAAACTGATGTCATTTACACTGACTTCAGTAAGGCGTTTGACTCTGTGCAACATGACATTTTACTTTTTAAACTTGACCGAATAGGTTTCCCTCTGTCCCTTTTACTTTGGATTAATTCATATTTAAAAGGTAGGACCCAAAGAGTAATACTGAGGTTGACTACCTCTAAAAGGGTTCACGTTA